AAAAAAATTACCATAAAATTGCGGTGAGCACCAACGACACTGTGAAAGACTTGTTTCAACGTGGGACATTCTAGATAGCTCGTCTGCAGACTTGGATGAATACTTGTCCCAAGCAATCGTGAGATGTCAGCGATGCGTGAGGGAGAGATGTCTTTCTTAGGCAATGGCGACAGAGTTGGTCGTGATAGGATCGACGTCGAAGATTGCGATGTCACAGACCGATATTCGGCAATGAGGGAGTAGTACAAATTCAGTACCCTGGAATAAAATGCTGGTTACGACAAAGTGAATTCCTCGCCACAATATGCATGAGAATAGGAGTAGATTAAGAAATTGGATAACTTTCGAGATAAAAAATGTATAAGCAGAAAATTTAGACATTTATAGAAGTAGATTAGGTTTCGAAAAGACATGACCCCCTCCCTTATCTCGGATCGGGTAGAGAACACCCAAACCCATCATTGATATCTCTACGTTAACTGAATTATTAATATTAATAATTATATTAATATTAATATGTATTATATTATTATATATATTATTAATATTACACATTTTTCTATAAATGCTTACCTAATTCGTAGTAACTCAGAAATATTCCGCAAGCTGCACATGAATAATTTTCAAAAAAGAAGAAAACAGTTACCTTAAGGGCATCAGCAGCAGTCGATCAAGGAGAGTTTGTTCAGGCAAACGTGGAAGAGTTGCTCGATCCACGCTTGCTTGCTCCTGGACAACGTTCATCATATTGCTCTCACAAAAAGCTGCAAATACACAGTGCTGAATCAGTGCTAAAATTGCTGGTGCGTCCTTACCGGCAAACAGCGCAGCAACAACTCGCAGACCAGTAGAAAGTCTAGAAGACGTGTTAAGATTCAATTCGCACAGTTCAAGCACTACGGAAAGAAGTCCACCAGTAGGTGAGGGCTGCCTGGAAATTCTGACAAATTTGCAGCCCCGCCGAAAAACAGATCTATTTTTCGACTTCGTAAAATGCTGGCTTGTGCACCAAGCAGCACATTCAAAGAGGCACATCATTCGAATCCTTGCATTTGACAGAGCTACGGCAACAGAGCAAAAAAAAAGAGATGCGAATTTTCAGACTCACTTGCTTGAGCATCCCCAACACTCAGAGAACAAAGATGCGGGAAATGTTTTTAACAAAGCATCTAGAACGAGGCAGAAACCAGCCTGTAAAAGTAAATTAGCTGATAAATGATCTCTGAAATTTTAGATACTTACGGATCGCTTGAGCACATCAGCTGTATAATACTCAGTTAACTCGCTCAAAACTGCCTCCAAATTAGATTCTATCACAATATCAGGACATTCACCACGAAATCGGTAATCGCTTGGCATATTAAGAACCTTAGGTGCTTAGTTAGACAAAGGACAGTCATCAAAGCTCCAGAACTCCCAGCATCAGTTAGGTGCTGGCTCCTGCATCAGAAGTGTGAAAGACTCACTGCTGGAAGAAAGCCCTGTCCGAGGGAAATCACATCATCAGGGATGCGAACAGCAAAGACTCCACTGTACTCGGTGAAATCCGCATTCATCACCAGCCTAACAAATATTTTTGGGCAAAAAGACTGCCAAATTCTAGAAGAAGGCTCACCGATCCACCTTACTCAAAGCAGCTTGAGCGACTTTGAAATCATCGGAAAACAAAAGATCAAAATAAGCATGAAGACATTGTAACTGCCATTCTTCTCGAATGGAACGCTCTACCCTATTCCATTTCAGCGAGCTCAAAAATTCAGCACATGTCACCTGTAACACAAAAAACATATAAACATATAGATTAGAACGAAAAGCTTAAAGAGACCTTCAGTAAGAAAAAAGTAGATGATACTTCCGTAATAGCTAGATTAATGGCATCTTGAAGGATGCCGAGAGACTCGAGCGTACTCTGTTGACCTATCGCAGCTTGAAGCACCGAACGCTTCCTAATTGGTTGAAAGGCTCTCATTACCCGTCGATAATTATGAGAATTACCTGAACAAGAAGGTTTTAGGGAACATTGTTTGATACGTATACATTACAAGAGCAAACATCTAATGTCTGACAAAGATCTCACAAAGGAAGGATACCAACTTGTGCTGGCTATAGACAAGATGTATACCATAAGACGCATCTTCGCAAGCTGATTCCGAATCTGCTTTTTTTGTTTGCTCAAACAACAAACAACTCTCCGAAAAAAAGTTATGAGCGTTTGAAAGTCCAAACTTGACAAGCCAAACGGCACATTAGCGAAAAGCTTTGCAGAACACCTATGCGCACTTCCACTGGCCATGTTCATTCCTTGTATCGACGTACTTGATGAAAACTGATTAGTCTCTTTCGCGTGTTCTTGTACAGTTTTTCGCCAACTATGCCATTTGAGGGCTGACAAATTTGGACATTGATACATCAGAACTTCTTTCGGATTATTGTTACGCGAAGGCAAAAGGGTTTGAATCAGCTTGAAAACTCGCCTAGTGATATACATTCCGTCTTCAGAGGCTAACTTATTCGTACCCTTCTCAACGAAGAATTGAGGACAAAGAGAAAAAGCAGATCTATGCATAATCAATAAACCGAAAACTTCGTATGGAAAAACATATAAAAGTAAAAACCTCTTCATCAACGGATTAAATCGAAATATGAAATAATTTGATAAGTATAACTCACTGTGTATCGCGGATTCATATTTATCCATTTTGAATAGAAGAAGCACAGTCGAAGCACACAGCTGATCGTCATCATGTAGAACGTAACGCGACACCTCTCC